CGTCCTCACATTACAGAATTCCATCAAACTATTCATCAGCATTTGTGAGCATGCTTACTAACTTAAATTAATATAAATTTCGAACAAAATAATTTGAACTTCAAACAGTGTAAAGGTTTATTCACCCATATATCGAAAAAATCTTCCCATAGCTTAAGGCAATCAACACAACATTCATAGAAGTTAACGGCGTATGCAATTATCCCTATGCAACCTAGTGGTTATTGCAGATGCCAACTGCAGTAACAAGTAATTATACGTTTCGACCAGAGTTTATTTCGGTTTCGTATGAATGTCAGAGATGACAACGATTATTTCCTCAAACCTCGTTAACCGTTTAATCCTTGTTAAGGTTATAGGTTTTTCTAATACTCGTATTATTCTTAGTCTTAATGGGAACGCGTTTCACCGTTCTTCTGTTCACAGTTATTATTTTTAAATACTGCTTCATAGTATAAAGTCGCCACATTTAATGTCACGAAGAAGCAATACTTTGTTCGGTCATAAAATTACCAAACCGGTTATAGATCAACAGCTACTAGAACTTGCTAATCTTACTTTGAAAGGAAATAAGTTTTTGACCTTTCAGCCGAATAATTAAAATGGATTTTTGCTGATTAATAAATTTCGGCAAGTCTCCTTATCGCCATAAATAACGTGTGTTGCTGTTCTGAAGTAGCGTTTCGTGTATCAACATTGGCACAAAACAATGTTGCGCCAATGTTGATGTCCTCGTCACCATAAAAGCAGACGGCCTTTTTTAGTCATTTAGTATGTCATCAACTGAACTTTAAGTAGCGTCAGTAATGATTTTAGGTGTTTTCTCCCCTGACTGAGTGTTCAAGGGCTTCACTTTGTGTCCGTTCACAGAAAATTTTCGAACAAATATATTCCAAGTCGTTTTCGATAAGCACTTCTGCGTTTTGACCCACGGAACTCTGAAAATGGCGTTGGTTTCGTACTTGATGGTGCTGTTTGAAAGACAGCTGTGTGCATCTTGGTCTGAAGACGATCACAGACATAGCTGCTTCTTCGTGAGAAATCATAAAAGTTGAATAACAGTTAACACAAACACGAAAATTCCTCGCTTAGGCTAGAATCGTAATGAGCGGACAAGGCATTCCGGAAGTCTAGACGGCATTTCGACTGATTGCTGTTTACACGGAACTAGAAAGAAAAACGTCCGACATAATCCGGTCAATAGTTGTCTACAACATGTCAAGTGACTAAGAAAGTGTTGTGGCAACACAATGTTTTTTTCTTAGAATTGGACTCAAGAAACATGACACGGCTTTGGACTCATTCTAATGCAGAAAAAGGAAGCTGAGGTATCAGTTTATCAAAGAACATTTTCGGATTTCGGGGACGGGCCACGTCGAATATTGAAAATTATCCAGTGTTTCGACAAACATTGCATTTGCCATTATCAATATATAATGGTGGACGTTTTTGATACTTGCATAGGGCAGGCAGTAGGTGGAAAGATGGATTTGATTGCTGGAGCTGCTATCTAATAAGATACGAGCAGGTGACTGAGGAAAACGCCCAGCCATTACATAGTCACCCTGAAGATGGCACTTGTAATTTTTGTTCAAAACGGATAATCTTCAATTTTAGACCGGTCTCATAACCGAAAGACATTGAACTCCAGTCGTAAAAACCAAAGGACAAAGATTAATTTTTGAGTTAATGATTGTGCGCATCGTAAAAGAATGATAAACGTATTTTGTGTTCGAACCCATCATTTCAGTATTAGAATGCATGACGTCGAAAATTTATCGTTTGCTTTAGGAAAACTGTAAACCTGTGATTACCTAAATGTTGTGTTTGACTTTCTAACTCTTTTCATCTAACGCAAACACACTTTCCGGTGGGGCGAAAAAACAGTCGCTCCGTTGTTTTATGTCGTCTTGACACTTTCGCCTCTGTAGAAAATCTTTCAGAGAACAAAGGACAAAAAGTTTGTCCAGGACTAATAAGGCGATGGTCATGTCAAATATGGAGGGGGTTCAGTTGCATTTCGAGGAGAGAGTTCACTTTTACACTTTGACTGAGCAGTCATCCAGTGAGAGCGTTGTGCGAATGTCACTCGAATCAAATGACTGTGAACGCAACAAACAGGGTATTTGTGCTAAGTGATACAAACGAGAGACTTGTGCTGGACAGCGTTTTTCCTGTCGCCTTTTCAGCGATGTCGTCCAGAACTACCGCATTCCGAGCTTCTTTTATCCTTGGATTAGCTTCCGTCGTTGCTGCTATACTCTGGTTTACACCGCCCCCTCGTAAGTAACGGGCTCTGCCTTCCGGTGCGTGTCGATTTGGAAAATGAACGTGATAATTGTACTGGTACTTAAAAAGCCGTAGAATTTCTGCATAAATGCACCAGCTGTCACAGATGTAGTGCCATTCAGCTCAGAATTTATGTTCTAGTCTCGTATATAAAAATCTAAGTATTAAAATATACAACATTGTGACTTTAAGTGCTGAATTAGGCCTTTAGTATGGTGTGAAAATTGTTTTTGTTTTTGCCATGAGATAATAAAATAGACGGAAGAGGAAAGACAGAAGAAAATGTTTGAAGAAGTAGTCGGAGAAACTTCGCAAAGAGAGATTAATAATGTGTACGCTTTACCAAATATTATTACATGATAAAATAAAGATGAGAAAAATATTTGAAATTATAGTTGGAGAATCTGAAAGATTCAGCCTCTGGAGACCTGGACTGTAATAGGAAGATAATATTAAAATTAATCTGAAAGGACTAGTTTGTGATGTCCTTGCCGCCTGCATCATCGCCATGATGATGGAGGCAGCAAGGACCTCTGAAACGTCGGTAAACTTCTACCAGACTACAAGGCGCTACAACCCAGAAGACAGCCATCTTCAGACTCACCGCCGTGAAAACATTAAATCCTACCTCTCTGTTTTATTTCCTGGTCTTAAAATGAAAGTTGGCGATTTTAAGCGGCATTACATTTCACTCGGAACATGTCTGGATAAACTGCCTGGTCTATTAGAAAATCTCACTCTAGTGTCCGAGGAACCTATAATATACCATTTCATTTCCCATGCTTCTCAACCCTTTCTGCTTTGAAACGTATTGGCGAAACTGCCGGAAGGCCACAGGCATCAAGACGACCATAAAAGAAACACGTTCTTCTACCCCATAAAATTCTTCAATATTTTTCACTTGGAAATGCCAGCGTAGATATGAATCTGTAGTTGTTATGAGAGTAAGTAAGTAAAGGAATGTTAGGTGATGAAATGGGAACACATTAAAATTTTAAGTGTAGAAATCTTAGAAGTTTAGGCTGAAATGGAACACTGCAAGTTAAATAAAGGACATAATGGCGGACTGTTGTGAATGCGGTAATGAACTTTCTTTCTGATTCCATAAAAGACGGCAAGTATCTAGCCGAGAGACTCACCTCCGTGGGGTAGTATTAAGTAGTTCTTCGCTCTACTTTCGGTGTTAGTTGAAGTACTTTGTAATTGCTGACAGTTGCTTAGCAGTTCGGTGGGAGCTTTGATTTCGAGAAGGAGATCCTCATTTCGCAGACAGCGACTGTAGCACCTGAACGGAGATGCAGAGCCAGACATCTGCAGGAGGGTGGCTCAGCCAGGGGACCATGTGATCGATATTTCTCTGCGGTGTTTTCCTTCATCCCCCCTCACCCCCTCCCGTCTGAAATCCCTACGTCCGGATTGTAGGAATGAGCACTTCCGTAATCTGGTAGTGGCCAAATTGGTTAAAATGTCATCCTTGGTGACTCTGGAATGTACAAAACTGTGACGGATTCCGATAAATTCCCTCTTCAGTTGATCGGGTTGAATTTCGTGAACGTGGTATGCCAACCATTAAATAACACACAGATAATAAATAAATGTTAGTAGAGAAAATTACATCGGGAAATGGACAATATGAAACGTCATTTAGTATAAAAAATCAACATTTGTCACAAAGTACAAAGGTTCGTTTCATATCCGTTGTATTTTTATTGCCTGGAAGTCAAAAAACTTGTAAAATAGACTACGTAACGTGTGTAATGTTATATCTCGATATTTCTTCTTCTTATTCTTCTTCCTGTTCTTGCACCGACTTGAAGCAACTTAGTGAGGCTATTGGCCTGCGCAGGAGTTCTACTTACGCTTTAAGTAAAACCTGAAACCTGTGATTAAGAAGAAAGCATGCAGAACATGTATTTTCTCTTACCGTCGCAAACACATCACATCATTGGTCTCTACTGATCCAAACAAGAGACAGTGAAGCCACGAAGTGCCTCAAGCTATTCCGATTTGAAACTTGGAAGTTGAGTTCTGCTGGCACAAAATCCAATTTTCGCGTCACAGGTGAAGAATTAAATAGAAAAACGCAGAAAGTATGAAGAGAAAAATAGTTTCGTGTACACGAATGAAGTTCACTTGAGTTTTGGTGGTCTTTATCTCAGAAACTATCCTACGAGAAAAATGACCAAATGTTCTTCCTAACAGAAGACAGAACTATAATCCGAAATATTCTTCGATGAACTCGGTATTGAATTTACGTTTTATTTTAACGCTTTAAAGCTGAAGCCCATCTTCGTAACATTGAAGAATCCAGCCCGAACCGAAAAGAAAACACTTTACCATTACAAATCTGAACTGGTTAATGTTGTTTAAGAAAATAATAGCTGTTTACAGTGAGAATAATACGAAACCACAACATGTAAAATGTAGAGTTATTGGCTGTTAAAGCAGATGGTACATATACTTACCACTCAGCTTCAAAGGTTTAAAGAGTAGGACGCAAGGAAAAATTAAATAAATAAGATGGCAGTGAAAATGAAGGTGGAAAAGAAACGAAAAAGGCGACGAATGACGAGCGAAAGAAGAGAGAATGAATAAAAGGCAATGTTGGAATTACGTGGAAGTATGAATATATTTATTTTAATTGTTTCATCTTGTTCTTTACTAGGCATGGCGAAGGTTAATAGTCACGAGAGATTTTAATTTCGCACGGAATGGCTGTGGAGAATGAAGGTCGTATGTCAGTAGGCCATGATGGTTATTTGCAGACAAGGTATCGTGCTCATCTTAAGTGGGAACCCTTGTAGCAGCTGAGGGAAATCACGACAAACCTCGATCGACACATCATCTCCTGTATTATTATTACCCCCCCCCCCCGGAATTAGATCCGTGGACCTTTTGTACAGTGCACGAGTACCCACTGTCACACGCTCAAGGAAATATCGTTAACAACTCATAACTGATTCTCACGACGGCGATGGGTATGAAGATGGCTGTCTTCTGGATATCGCGACGCGTAATCAGGTAGAAATTGACCGACGTTTCAGAAGTGCTTACTGTCTCTATTGACTAGTCACTGTGATGATGAAGGCATTAAGCTCCTCTGAAACGTCGGCCAGTTTATACAAGACTGAGGGCGACGCGTTGTAAACTCCACTATAGTACGAGCAAAATCAATTTCCCTCAGCTTAGTATTCATCTGGTTTTGAATAAATATACTTTTTAGGTCTGTAACAGATTTTAAGAATGAAAGTTTTTTTTAAATGTGCACTAAAATATATATTTTAGACAATTATTCAACCCTGCACGGTATGCAAGGTTTTAAGATAATGCAAACTGTTTTTATACCAGTGCGGAAGAAAATTTGATGAAGACATCTTAGAGCTTAAGCAATTTTGAAAAAAAGTAGAATATACTCGATTCAAATTTGCAAATCACCAGGAGTCTATGGCCCCTGACTGAGAAACACTAAATTATAAGATATTAAAAACTGAAGAAATAATAAGCAAAGTGCAAGAGTAGTTAGTTGATGACATGAACTATTTAGTCTCTTTTGGATAGTCTACGGCTTATACGTAGACTACAAGAAGAGAGAATAATTAAAAAGACCTGCATATAACACATTGAAAGACGAAAAAGAGACAGAGAAAGACAAGGGCGGACCAATTTAATCTCTGAACTTAGAAATGGGTTTCGAAACACTCAAATCTGGTGACGTGAAAACAGATGGAACACTGGCCAGTGGAAAATAGGCTATAGTAAGAAATACAAGAAACACTTTTAACAAAAGTGTAAAAATATTAAAATATCGGCGATGCTACTTTGTTGTAGGCTAGTTGTGGTCTCCCACTTTCTCGCCCTTTCTCTAGTCATGACCGCAAAAATAAATATTTTTTAGATAATTAGAGAACTGCTTGTCGCGCGGTCGGTCTCATTTGTGGTGGAAAGTATGAGAAATATCTCGTTGTGGCCAGCACAGAGAGAAACTTCAGATACGAAGTTTCAGTTACTGTGGCAAAATAAACTCGAGTCGTAACTCTGCTGACATACAAACCCGTACTTTTTCGTACTGTGCCCTTGCCAGTATGTGCTAGATTATTCAATCTCCTGGTCTTTCTTCATGATTTACGTGTTCTTTCAAGGTTCAATGCTGAAGGTATTCAATATTTCTAGGTGAAGTTTAAAACTGGTTTTATTAATTTGTTGACATTTTAATTCATTCTCACAAGTGCTGAGTATCTTTTATGCAGATGAATGAAGTGGATTGGTAAATCGTATCCTCACTGTACAATCTACTTTTGTTTATTTTATTTTTAAATTTTTTTAAATGTACGATATTTTTGTTTATTTCATTAATTTCAAAACGTTTTTTCTAAAGATATGACATGTCTTCAATATGAGCCAGTAATGACAGAACGTATGCCACCTTTTCTTGATCCATAGTCATCACAACGCAACCCTGCAAACAGAAACTCTTTTAATTAAACTGTGTGACTGTCTAATTAAGTCAACATGCATCTAAAGTTGCGAGTTGTAGTAGTGACTCAATCGCCATTCGTTTGTATAAACCCTGTATTATTATCTCTTACATCATGTAACTTTTGACAGTCCTCCGGAAACAAATTGTAACTACACTAACCTTACTTGCCCTAAACTAGTCTGTCATTGAACTCACATTTATTAGTTAAACAGAAAGGAAGGTTTAAATGATGTAATTACGTTAGTTTATTGTACAAATAACTGAACAGTTGGACTGTATTGCAAAGGTTATGCTCAGAAGCTGATTTTAACTTTTGCAGATGTCGACTTCCCTACTTGCGAGAGGTCGTGTAACGAGCTCGAATGGCCGATGATCTGTCGGGTCAAACTTACGCTTGAGGTCTACCAGACATTCAGCAGGTAGGAGGCCAATGTAACCAGAATCGAAGACTTACTGTGTAGGATTTGAGGTTTTCACAGCGGTGAGTCCGATGACTGACTTCTGGGTTGTAGCGTCCGGTAGAGGTCTACCAACTCTTCAGAGGTCCTTGCTGCCTCCATCATCATATTTATAAATATTGCCGGAGCAGATACTATTCAGGGGATAACGGACCACATGTTGCTATCCGCAGTGGATGCCTGCTGCCAAGACCATATGGAAGAGAGAACGACGTCTATGCATATTTATTTCATCCATATGTGTCACAACCCTGCGTCTGGATTCTCGAAGGCCAGAATCTTCTTATCATGTACTTAAGACGAGAAATGTACGTCGTATGTGTATGGAAAAGATTCGAGACTTGATGGCAGTTTATTAAAAACTGTACTAGCGTAGGCGACTATGACAAACAAGTTCAGTAATTCTCATCAACGTTACTCAGCTATTTGAATCACTTTTTGCTCGAACTTCTTAATACGAGGTTTAATTTCTTTGGTTGCATTTCGCATGTCTGTTCGTGAGACGTGTCCTAGATCCTGATTTGACATTCTTAGTTAAACTGAACAGTTACAGCCAGAAGCATTGCCAAATAAAAACATCATTAACGATCTGTGATATTTATTATCCAGAGTGACAAATTACTACAATAAATAAAAATGGGTGGACCGCGGGTTGAAAACCCCTGTATGAGGTCATGTTCTTCTCTAAGATGGCTGTCTTCTGGGTTGTAGCGCCGTGTAGTCTGGTAGAAGTTTACCGACGTTTCAGAGGTCCTTGCTGCCTCCATCATCAGCATCGTCCTGAAACAGCAATACATAATAATACATAAATAAAAACGTTTAATGTATTCAAGTCGCGGACCTCGAACTGAAAAACCCTGGTATAAACTATACGAATCAGTACTCGGACAATATCTTATGTAAAATGGATGATGTAGTTTTGAATATATTAAACTGGTAATATGAAATACAAGCCAATTAGGCTAGACAGATGATAAATCTACATCAGTACATATGATAGGATGAAGGGTGAAAGTGTTTTAGGCAGGAAGACATCGTTACAGGCGTAATTGTGAATGAAATGGTTAATTACCGGACGCATAATCAAAGAATGGCGCAGACAGGGAAAGGACATGACTGGTAAGCAAATCTAAAGCCGTAGGATTTGAGATTTTCAGGGCGGCGAGTCTGAAGATGGCTGTCTTCTGGTACAAGTTCATCAGGGACCTCTGAAACGTCGGTTAACTTCTACCAGACTATACACGGCGCAGCATCCCAGAGGACAGCCATCTTCAAAACTTCTCCTCCATCCTCTCCCCAACTTCCACCTTTATTCTGTATACAATCTGTGTCTCTCTGCTTTCTTTTGCGTATAGCCTTTTCCATTTATGCCTATTCCCCTTCGAATTTTTTTTAGTAGAGTGATGCTTTCGCCAGAGACCCAAGACAGTCGTCAATAAACCACTATTTATGCACCGATGGCGACCAAATCTAGGTAGCCTACATATCTCAGTCCTTGTGATATGTTGTCCCGCCACAAATGGCAATAAAACTGGTTGCCAAGTGCATCCATGCACGCTTAGACGAGATGCTACAAACGTTTGGTCGCAGGGTTACCTGAAAAGACCTCTGACTTACGAGGTCCCTACATGTATGATTTGAGGTTTTCACAGCGGTGAGTATGAAGATTTCCGTCTTCTGGGTTATTGCGCTGTGTAGTCTGGTAGATGTTTACCAATGTTTCAGAGGTCATACTGCCTCCGTCATCAGGGTGACGAGGATGAAGATTTCTGTCTTCTGGGTTGTTGCGCTGTGTAGTCTGGTAGATGTTTACCAACGTTTCGGAGGCCATACTGCCTCCGTCATCAGGGCGATGAAGATTTCTGTCTTCTGGGTTGTTGCGCCGTGTAGCCTGGGCGATGTTTACATCTACCAGACTACACAACGCAACAACCCAGAAGACAGAAATCTTCAAGGTCCCTACATTTAACCAGCCCCCTAGACTTCCTGCGGGACCTTGTATGACGGAATTCAGTTTCATAAAGGCCGTGATATGTTCTACGAAATGTAATCATCATCAGTGCATTTATAGTGGTTTTATTGCTTAAATTCTTCGGTTTCTAGTGAAGGGACCACTCTGTATAATCCTCCTGTGGTGTTCGCTTTTTTATTGGCAATACTTTAGTTGGTTCTGCGGTTACGTTGCGGCTTTGTCCGCAGAGTATGAATTGCAAAACTGAATCGTTGGACGACATTAAAGCCGGAGTCGTATTTATTCACTAAACGAACAAAGAAGTTAACTTTCAGATAGAGAGAGCCAACAGCGGGATTCTTGTGGCTTTACAGAAGGTAATCATCAGTGAGTTGCTGAATCCATTCAAATCAGCATAACTATGTCGGAGATGGCAAATAAAGCGATGTTTCATCGCTATGTATTTTACTAATAACATTTGTGTTATGACCCAGTTTTAACATCCATGTATTTTGCATTTTTGTCTGGCGCGTACTATTGATACTTTTGATCACGTTAACCGTTTATCCACAAAACAAAATACCTAAACAAATGTGGTTTCCACTGGGAGACCTACTGCCATTAAATAAAATACGATCGCAAATTTGAAACCTTAATTTATGTCGTACTGGGCCATATCTAGAGGCAATCCACGTCTGCTTCTCCCAAGTGAAATATCATGTCCACAGACTGTGTAAAATAATACGTCCCTGTTCGTGGTTCAACGGTGGGCACGTCTTCAGTGGTAACTCATTTCAAGCTGTGTAATCGAAACATACAGACCGAGGTCCACTGCTCCTACAATATGATAGCTTAGTGGTTGAAAATGAAAATATGATAGACAAACGTTTTCTACTCCAATGAAAAGAACATTACAATATGAATCCATTTTACGACGTTGCAAATATTAGACGCCACTTCGTTCAGCACATGAAATATTTTTAATAAATGTTTCTCTCTGTAGCAAAAGGAAACAGAGAGGCGATTTTGATGGTTACTGCTTGTATGTGTATATCTTCGACTTTATGGTGACAGTCGCTTCGAATGTCTTGTCATAATCAACGTTTAGGCGAACATTGCAGTTGCCATTTCAAGCCGAAGTTATACATTGAACTCCAGCCTCGAAAACCTACGGACAAAAATCTCTTGTAACTGTTAAATTTTTTACAAGAGTCTACCAAAGAACCCTGTATGTTCCGTCATTCAATTGCTTCTTGATTTGATCTCCTTAACACTTGGAGAAAACTGCTTCGCTAAATGGCACATGTCGTCGGATAATTAGTCTAGAGTGTGGATCAGCCAACAGCGAGCCATTCTGCCTTTCACTGTCCCTGTAACGGTTCAGTTTTCAAGTCCGTCGTCCTTACCAACCTCAACAGACTGAATATATTAACCTAAAAGCGCTTGAATCTGTACCTACAGGTCTTGCGGTGACTGTCCGCGGAATGCATCCGACTGCTTCAGGACGTACTGCGTCACTGCCGATGGCTTCAAGAGGGGACTGCTCACAGCCAACCGACAGCTACCGGGACCTGTCATACAGGTAGGCAGGGACGGAAACAAGACGTGTAGTTCCGAGATGCTTGCAAACGAAATTATGCAGTCTCTTAAAAATACGAGTAGTGCAAATATCCGGAGTGCACAAGCCCAAGAACTCCAACGTAAGATTTTATGATCTCGAGATGGCAGCGTACAGATATTTTTGTTTGATTATTTTTAAAACCGCAAGATTTAAAGAAAAAAGTATTGAGCGTAAATGTTTCATTTTTCTCTAAAACGTATGTTCCAAAACGTTTTTAAATCTAATGTATGTTTACCTAGTGTAGAGTCCACGTAACTCTGACAATTCTTATTAGGACAAAATCAAATTTTGTAAGAATACTTTGAAAACAAAAAAATGCAGTAATATTTTCTTAAAATTTTGATACACTTGGTCCAAGAATCACTGTCATGCTAGAAAAACTTACGCGGTTAAAATATGACTCGGAATTTTGATCATGCCTTTGTTAATAAATCGCCCTACCAGTTTCACACTAGACAATCTTCTCGAGGCAGTCCCGCCTACATGTAGTCCAAACCCTAGGACATATTCACAGCCAATGTATATGTCGAGAAATAACGAAAGTTCAAAATAAAATTTGAAACGTTCTCGCACTTTTTCGAGATTACACACGGATTTAAAGATCCTCAAGTACTGACGTGGAAGATACTTCTGGCCTCTGTGAACGATATTGTGTTCCAGGTGTGCGAGAACGACATACTGTTAATAGACGTCGTGAACCGGGTGCCAGGTCAGGGGTTCGGAATCCACTGGCGGGGTCAGCCTCAGAAAGAGACGCCGATCATGGATGGTGTTCCCATGGTAACGCAATGCCCCATTCCTAGTTCAACCACATTCCAGTATAAGTTCCGAGCTTCAAGAGCAGGGACTCATATATGGCACGCGCATACAGGTATTGTGTTTAACTACGTCTTAAGAAGGTTAGTCTGAAGTAAACTTGCTCAACGCGGGAGATGCGTAGAAAGAAAGTGCCGCGTACGGTGAAACCGCGTTAGAATAACTTAAAATTGTATGGGATTAATGGGGAGATGGGAACGCAAACGTAGAATGTTCGTTTTGTCATCCAGTGTCATGAACTTAGAACTTTGTATTTTGTTGTTGTAATTATTACTTTTACGTTTTGATTCCATAATGCTGTTCAAGTAGCCACGGTGGTCTAGCGGTTAGAACGCTGGCCTTGTAATCCTGGGGGGTCTCGGGTTCGATTCCCGGCGGTGCCCGAATTTATAACTTGTGTTGGGCAAGGCCGTGGTCTAGGCAACACGGAGTTTTCCTCCGTGGCATCCCAACAATTACTCAATTCACGGTGGTGTAGCGGTTAGAACGCTGGCCTTGTAATCCTGGGGTCTCGGGTTCGAATTTATAACTTGTGTTGGGCAAGGCCGTGGTCTAGGCACCACGGAGTTTTCCTCCGGGGGCTTCCCCGGTTTCTCCGTGGCATCCCAACAATTACTCTATTCACACACAGAAGAAGGCAATGGCAACCCACTTCTGGATCATCTGCCAAGAAAGTATATGAACAGGGCCCAGTCCCAGAAAAGGATGGAAGGATCCTGTTCATATGGACCTGTCGTCAGACAGAACACTAAATAAAATAAGATAATAATGCTGTTCAAGGGCAATACCAAAGAGTAATTACACGATTTCCTTCATCTCTCTTAAGTCCAAATGTTCTCCTCAGAGCAAATTGTACCTTGGCTTCCAATGTTATCCCAGTGTTTCACAGATTGTCTTCACTACACTGCAGAGACAGACGACGCCACCACAAAATTTCGCCTTACGAAGAGATAGTACGAAACTTTACTTGCCACGAATACGTAAACATTTGAAAATAAAACATAACACATGTCGAATAAAACTTGATGATGAACCAGTGTGTGTGTGTATTACGAAAAATGAGATATTGTCTATTTCTAATTATAACGAGCTAATTTAAGCTGCAATTTGTTATAAAAATTCATACAACCAATTAGAATTTTCGTTCTTCCTGTCATGAGAGCCTTATTTTAATACGAATTATTTTGTTTAAAATTTCATGTACATTTTAGTTGGCTCATTTCTCTGCGGCTCGGTCGTATTTACAATCTTGTCTGACTCTTCGATGAAGGAAATGTAAAGAACCACTTTTTGGTGGGACGTTAATTCATGCTAATCTTCCTTAGTGAGTGCTCGTTCCTATGGAGGCCAGAAATGACATTAGAAGTCTTCATATGTAGTTTTATGATCCTCTAATATATAACTTTCGTTTGCTCCATTTTACCTGTAATTTTACTGTGTAATTTATCATGATAACTGGTTATATTATGACGCAACCTGTTATCGAGTTTCGTAAGAAACTTTCTAGAAATTTTATGTAACAACTAGTTCTTCCCATTTCCACGAGCTGGACAACTTAGTTCCTGAAGATTTCGAGGTTCCTGAGACGGCGTGTACAAAGATGTCTTCTGGCTTGTAATTCCATGGTAAACGTTTACCGACGTTTCAGAGGTCCTTGCTGCTTCCATCATCACAGCGATGAGTGATTCTTCTGTAACTGACATAGAATCGTATTTCCAACTCTTCATTGGCCTTCCTTTTACACTTTGCCGTCTGCTTTCTTCAGGTATCTGAAATATGTCGAGGGTATATTTATTTTGTCTTGGTTTCTTACTCCAGTGTGGATGCAAGGAACGTCGTGAGAAAAAGCTTAAAGCTTAAAACAATACAACATTCGTTACAAATGAAGAAAATGAGTGAGAAACTGAAATTCGATAGCCACTATATTTGGAGGTCGAACAGTGGTATCGATAGTCCAAATGCTAATCGGGGCATGAATTCGTGCTTTGTCTTCTGGTAGAAGTCTTCCGAATGCCTCATCATGTCTTACCATTTGCTAGCAAGGACGTACAGAGTGCTCAAGAGAAAATTTGTACCTGAGACCACTCTGAAGACGTACGCATAAATGGGAGGATAATATTAAAATGTATCTTAGGAAAATGTAGTCGAAGGGTGTGAAACAGATTTGTTTGACTCTGGACACAGATAGTTTGCGGGCTTTAGCTTTTCAAGAAGACGCCTGCTACCTCGCTTGTAATTTCACAGGAGCGCAAGTTAGCGACGGTATATTCGGAGCACTGGTCGTTCGTCAGTCTCCGAAGCGAGACCCTCACTTCAAGCAATACGACGTGGACGATCCGAACCACGTTATAGTGATCAATGAGTGGAGCCGTGGGTTCGCCATCCAGAGGCTCTTGGAGCCAACCCCTGGTACCAACATGGCGTCTCTCCTCATAAATGGCCGCTCTCAGCCAGACGTAAGTATATCCTCTATAAACCTTCATGATACTGTGGGTGTTATATAGTAGCCGGGACGAATCTGTGCGTTCGATGTCCGTTACAAGTACGAGGAACAGATAAGGAGGAATTTTTTGCTCATACTAAAAGCAGCAACACTTCGTAGCGTCTCAGTTTTGCCTTTGGTTTACATAGTAAATGTGTGTTTTCCTTCTACATGCAAACTAGTGACGTAGGCACAACGCACATTTTTGTCCCGGGTTCTGTACTGCATCGTAGTTGCGTTGGCCATTGTTTCAAGCTGCTCTGTGTTCACATCTCTTCACCAGAATTCTTGACAATGCCACTATAATAATTCTCTTTTAAATGAGTCGTAAAGTTAAAATAATTTGGAATACAGCAACAGATTAAAATTGCAATGATCAAATTACGAGCAGATTAAATTCACGGAACGTTTCCTACCATTGAGTTCAAAATATTTTGTCTTCCTATAGCGCATCTGTTAACATTACTAGAAAAAAGTAAAGGAGAGAACTTGGTAGACGTAGAGGTAGATGGAAGGAAAATGTATTATCACGAAATAGGTGAGGTAGATGGAAGGAAAATGTATTATCTCGAAATAGGCGTGGATGTTGACTGGATTCATCTGGCTCAGGACAGTGTCCAGTGGCGGGCTGTTGTGAAGACGGTTATGAACAACCTTCGAGCTCCATAAAAGATGTGAGATTTCAACAGCTGAGCTAATATAAGTTTCTCACTTCGAATATTTGGTCTGTAGCGTCAATGATACATTTGTAATAATATTAAAGGAATTCGTAATGTTCTGTTTTAGATCTTATCTCAGTATTTTTCTGGAGTGGACCACGAATCTTACGAAAACCCTCGGCTAGAATAGAGATTCTTGTCGGGAGCCTACTAAGTACGAAATAGCATTGCCGTAACACTGTACCATCATCCACCCAGAAGCCTCGTCACACCGCAATGAAACAATTTTCCTACTTTCTCGTGCTCAAGTCTAGTAACGAGAGTGCCTCTGTCTTTTGCAGCGGATGGAAGGGTCAGAGAGACGCGATAACCCGCTGACCACGTTCACAGTTGCTCCGAGGAAGAAATACAGATTTCGGGTGGCGTATGCTGGGGGCGGGAGATCGTGCCCCATCACCGTCAGTGTTGCCAACCACGTGCTCCGCGTCATCTCTCTCGACGGCAACCCTATAAAACCGCGAGATGTCGCATCCTTCGTTATGGCAGCAGGTCAGAAAATTCCTCTAGGCTTTGGAATTAACCTAGCTCCAGGGCATGACGCGTTCTTAGATTGTAGATGGAGGAGACTGCATGCAGATACGAGGTGCAATCGGAAAGTTTCAAGACTGCGCGTATAAAAACCCGTACACTTATCTCAGGTATTAAATTCATCCATCACCCTCGAAGTAGTTCCCCTGGGAGTGAACACAACGATCCCAGCGCCGCTGCCAAGCCTGGAAGCATCCCTGGAAATCTTTCTTTGTCAGCCTGTCAAGCACCATCTGCGATTCTGCCTGAATCTCTCCTAGTTTGTGCACGACCCATTGCGGACTCCCCAAATGCTTGCTTTAGCATTTCATAGGTTTCCGTAGCCGTTTTGGCGAGTCTTTGGCAAAATTTGACGCACACGCCATTCCGAAATCGCAGGAGGGTCGGTGTAATGTACTACCAAAACGCCCGTAACTAAGAAACAAATGCTAATTCGATGATGCCGGCTGGCACACTGATTCACTATGAATGTAGGCCGCACCCCCTAGCGGCAGAATCTCGTACTTCATCCGGTTCGCCCTCTATTGACACAGTCTTGAAACTTTCCGATCGCACCTCGTACAAGGGGTAATTTTTGCAATGTTCTGAAAAATTCATTAGCTGCTAGATCAAGACATGGAATAAATGTGGAACATTGGTTTTCCTGAAGAAACTCGAAGGCGTGGGGAATGTTTGAGAGGGAGTGGGGAATATTTCCAACGTTGTAACGTAGGTTGGTAAAAATCGCGTCTTTGATACTGGTGACTAAACATTCGGAGTTAGAATTCGACAGATATTCATAAATACTTGTAGGATAGAGTGAATTATCTGCGGATGGTAAGAAGAGTGAAGTTGTGTTTGCAGACGATGACTGAAATCATCTTTTAAGTTCCATTTTCCCTTCTTGTTGTTGCGTTTCTCAGGTGAAAGAACAGACTTTGTGCTGACCTCTGACCAGCCTGTGGCATCCTATTGGCTTAACGTCCTCACTGCAGACCACTGTGAGAATTCGGCTATAAAGGGAGCAGCTATACTTAAGTACGAGGGGGCTCCTGAAGGCGCTGAACCCGTTGTCCAAGGGGCTCCTGATGTTCAGCCGACACCCAGCAGTTCGATTGTGAGTTTCACGCCAGATTCCAACCGTCACTTTGTCTCCTAATTAAGGACCAGTAAGATTAAAAATAATTTGTACGGAATTTATAATCAGGTTCAATTACGTCTGTATTGCGTTGTCAAGCGATAAGCCGATATTCCGTCCGAGTAATCGAATTTAAAACATTAATACTGTATTTTATCGATTGTTAGACGCCATCAATTGTAAGACGCGACCTAATTTAAGACATTTTAAAATGTGAAAAAAGCACGTCTTAAGAATGAGGCATTTTAAAATTAATTCTGAATCGGGCAATTTAGGGGATAATATTAAAATGAAATATTCCGTGGGACAGATTGAATCAGGATAGAACTAATAATGACAGTAATGAACCTTTGGGTTCTATAAAAGACGCAAATTTCTTAACGAGCTCAGCGACTGTAAACTTCTAGAGTTGGACTCTTCTTAGAGTCTTCTGGGTACAGCATCGTGCTTAAATAGTAAAAGTTACCGACGTTTTTGGGGGGGAACGACAACCCTGAAGGATGACGAAGAAAGTTCCTTCAAAGTGTTTATAAATCTTACCGTGTCGGACCGGCGTTTTCCTAGAAACTTCAGAGTCGCAGGGTTTTTAAACAGACCACGAAAGACCCGATACGTAAATGCGTCGCCTGCTCTGACTTGTCAAATTCACTTCCAGCTTCTTAATACAGTGGATGACCATTGCACCGTGTCGGAGGATAGAGACGGCGACGCTGTGTGCCTCTCGGATGTCAAAGCCCTTCAGAAGATGGGGCGAGAACTGACAGACAGAAAAGTGGACATCACTCTGTATCTCGCGTTCGACTTCAAACGGCTGTCAGAAGATAAAGTTCCTACACCTCATCCAGGCAAGTGACAGGAAATGGTCCACTGTCCAGAAATTACGCAGGATGAGGCTGAGCCCGTATGTTAGAGAGAGTGAGATTCCGAATCCAGTTGTATTTTCACTTAAGTAAACTTGCAGTCGCTGTTATTTGATCTGCCACCATGTTTAGTTACTTCACGATTACGAACACGTCGTACAGTAGTAGAGAGTCTACTGTAACAGCGGAGGAATTATGCAAGCAAAAGCTAATTATGTCCTCAGGCTACATGTGTTCTTCCTTCTCTCCGAAGAACTTTCACTTTCCAATAAGGAAGGACTCGTAAAGCAGAACAAATGCGTATTACAGCACCTCATTTGATGGTGTCTACAAAAAAGTGATAGTGGAACCACGGTTCCGGAGAATTTGACGTAAATACGTCTATATGGAAAGGAAGTTTATATATTGTTTCCTAGGTAACAACAATGCTGAGTAAACAGATGAGGTTTCCTAAGTAACATAGCAATGAAGTTACACTTTTTCGTTTCCCTTTTTCGTAACACTATTTCGTAACACTTTTTCGTAACACTTTTTCGTAACACATTTTTGCCGAATAACACTGACCCTAAAATATAGACGTATTTACGTCAAAATACCCAAAAGTTACTTTAAATATTAAAGAATATTAGCTAAAGTCTATCGGTACATCTGTTCAGTAATTACATTCGGCACGTGGAGTACAAGAAATAAAAAGTAAATTTATTTTAAATCTTGGCCCGAGAGTCACACAATAGTTGGGAAAGTTTTTCTACGTAATTGCATGCTTTTCCTAGTTCTATCGAAATAAAAAGTTTACGCCAGGCAGTGAATTTTTTTCCATGACTAATGGTAATTTTAGATACACTTTCACGTCCACTGATTTTTACGTTGGCCCGGATACGCTGGTTAATTTATTACAGTAGATACCGCCCAGAACGTCCATAATCAGCAATACTTACGGAACCTCCTGTGAACAAACGTGTTCTACAATTTGTAGTACGATTATGTTTGGTCCTTATTTCACACTGATGTTAATATCACTCAGAAATCTTCTAAGTACGGCATAAGTAAAGCCCTCGCCACAAAATTTACATTTAATATGATTCTTATCTACAAAAAATCATAATACATCGCATTCACTGATGAAGTTGAACGCAAATGTTCGTTTTCGTCTCCCGGCTAGTAATGCTAGTACTTGCCGCCAAGCGCTACAAATGATAATTGCGTTCAACTTTATCCGCGAACGCTCTTTATAAAGACAGCTAATGCTGATGGGTTCCGTGCTTAGAAGTACTGAAACTTCGTTGGTTATCTGCAGGAGCCAGCGTTCTAGTTCCTCAGCTGAACAACTTCACCTTCACGTTTCCGTCGTCACCCCTATTGACCCAGGCCGAGGACGTGAATCCCGACCTCTTGTGCCAGCAGGAGACGCCGCCATCCCGATGTCAGGGTTCGCCGATCTGCGAGTGTGTCCATGTCATTGATTTGCCGCTAGGAGCCACTGTTGAGCTCATCCTTGCGGACTTAGGTAACAACCAGCAATTGGTATGACTGCGTTAAATAGTCAAGCCACCACAAGTTTGAAGGTAAATTTTTTGTTAGTGCGATAGAGAAATTTCAATTTGCCGTGTTCAGTGGCAGCACTGGACCCCTGTCACTCAAAGAACTTGGTGGTTTATCGCAGTTTATTCGTATTCGTTGCTTATTTGACAAGTCTGTGCTGTTTTCAACATTTTTGTGTGTTTATTTTTGAAAAATTCAACGTGTCGTAGACGTAATTATATAATTATAATTTAATAAGAACCGCCACGGTGGTCTAGCGGTTAGAACGCTGGCCTTGTAATCCTGTGGTCTCGGGTTCGATTCCCGGCGGTGCCCGAATTTATAACTTGTGTTGGGCAAGGCCGTGGTCTAGGCAACACGGAGTTTTCCTCCGGGGGCTTCCACGGTTTCTCCGTGGCATCCCAACAATTACTCCATTCACACACAGAAGAAGGCAATGGCAAACCACTTCTGGATCATCTGCCAAGAACGTATATGAACAGGTCCCAGTCCGAGAAAAGGATGGAAGGATCCTGTTCATATGGACCTGTCGTCAGACAGAACACTAAATAAAACAAATAAATTTAATAAGCATGACATTCGGCTTTGTCTGCGTGACTTTTGGGACACTGCAGAACGCTTTCGTCTAGACCCAGGGGATTAACGTGGTCTCACTATCCACACGAACGGAGAGATAGAAGCTGTTGCTGTGTTTCTGACAGGAGGCAGCGAGTCGGGTCACGTTGTCCACCTGCACGGGTACAGTTTCCACGTGGTGGGTGCCACTCGGCTGGAACAGCCAACGTCTCTGCAGCGCATACAGCAACTGGACAGCGAAGACTCGCTTTTGTCTCGGAATCTAGTCAATCCCGTGCTCAAGGACACGGTTACTGTAGGAAGCAACGGGGTTGCCGCCCTCCGCTTCAAGGCAGACAATCCGGGTAACGTTACCTGCTTCAAAATGTTCACCACTTTTTTATTTATTAAAAACCTGCTCTAACATACGCAATATATTAAGACGCATTTTGTAGGTAACCGGAAGTCGTGGTTTGCACTACTGATTTCTATTCTTCAGCCCCCGGGTTCAAATCTCGGCCCGGAGACCGGGTATCTTCATGGTTTTACTCAGGCGTTCAAGGCAAATGGCAGGGATAGTATTTTAAATTAGGCCACGAAATCTTCGTTTCACGTCACTTCCAAGTCATCATTCGTCTTCTTTCTCTCATTAGATGCTGTAGTTTGAGAGACTGAAATCGTCGTTAAGTAAACTATAAATAATTTTCGTGTTTGCCACATGGAGGCGCATTTGTCTCGTTCAAGATCAGGCCAAGATTTACATAACGCAAAAAAAGTACGCGATGGTAGGCTAAAAGCATAGTCGAACGGTGAAGACAGATTTATTCGACATGGAATTTAGTCAGTCTTTTGTCCTTTCACAAACATCATTTTCAGGTCACACAGACACTCGAATTAAAAAGTAACGTCATCGCATAAATCTGCATAAATGTAAGACGTTCCCAATTTTTTTCAAGAAACCGCAATGTACATTTCGACAGAAGTAGGACTCATTTTAAACAGTGGCATAGTTTCACGTTAATATGCCCTTGTTTCTGTGAGTATAATTGAACTCGAAGAATGTTCGGTTACCGCAAAGCATAAATGTACAAACTTTGGTTTCCATATCAGCTAGATTTTTAATCCTCTAGATTAAAGAACAAGGGAAAATGTTTTCAGTCACGATAGTAGGCTAACAGTGTTAAACGTGTAGTTTATAACAAAATAATTTCCGCGTGAGATCTGAGAATGATGATATGGGTTTTGTCGTCGTGCCAAAAGTTTTTAAGATAATTTATAATTAATTAATCCCTTGAGGATTTCTGTTGGGTCCAATCCAACGTTAATGGAAAACGTCTTTCAAATATCTTAATTAGCCCGATGACCCTGACATCTTAACATAAAGCAATCGAACTGGTCTGTATGATTTGCAACCTGTTCAAAAGAACTTGGAAGGGCCGTTCTTTCGGAATGTGAACATTTTTCCATGTAGCATGCATGGTTCAGATGTTAACGGTGGATGGGCATAAGAACCAACGTCTTGGCCTCCCTGATCACCCGACCTAAGTTCAGTATTTTTCGTTTTTATCCTTTTAAAGTCTGGCGATAGAGCCTTGAATTACCTTGTATCGAGTTTTATGATAAGATAATTTTAAACGTTGAATTGGTAAGAATATGGACGAGAGATATCGTGGCCTATTTTAATGCAGTCTTCCAGAGATTTGCTCGAATTAAGGTCAAGTTCGAAATAAAACTCTTGGCCATTTTACTTTATAATACTTAACAGATTTGTTATTGTGCACGTTATCACATCTATAATAAAATTAATTTATTCCGTTAATTCTGTCACAGGATATTGGCTATTTCACGACCAGCATTTCTCGTATTGGCCAAACGGATTTGACGTCGTATTTCACGTGGGCCAATCCGGTGATGTAATGCCAACCCCCACAGATTTCCCTCGGTGTGGAAGTTGGGTGGGCCCAGAATTCTTCCTCATATGAAGAGTGTGACGCAGATAGATTCGTCTGAAGCAGCCCTGTACCATCTGTGATGGCCTTCTGGAACTGTGATGAGATTGAACGTTTCGGCGGAAATTTAGAATTATTTTCTGAGACGCAGATCATGGAAGCTAGCAAATTCTGAACATCAAGAAATGTCCGTCCCAGTGATCTGAAAGGAGCTTGTCTACGCCTGATTGGGAACATGCTGTATGCTGAAGTAGGTCTTACGGATACAGAATTATAATCAACAAATAATTTGCGTAAAGTAACAAATTATGTACATAGATCATTTCAAAATGTTTATAACGGTTATTAATTCACTGCTGTGTTCGAAATTATGCTGAGCGTTGTTGCAAATGGGCATAACTATCGAATTTGAAGCTCAGCGACAATTACCCAAGTTACATCGCGACGTAAACTATCCAAGGCTTCATAAAAGACTCTTTTGGGCAACTAACATCTCAAGGACTCTGAAAAATGGCCTTAATAAACAGAAAATTACGTCAGAAAGTTACGTAATGAGCTTTATAATTTATACAGTTCACCAAAAAGGCTTTTTAGCGTGCTCAAATCAAGGAGGATGAGAAGACGAGAAATCCCGGACAGAAAGAACCACTTGGGAGATGGAAAGGTGATAATGAAATAGCTTTAAAGAAAATATGGTTAAAAGTTTGGACTGAGACAGAGTTGAGTCCAGTAACGGGCTATTGTGAACACGATCAAGAACCTAAAGGGTCTTCAAAAGGGGGTCAGTTTGTTGACTACCTGATTTACTAGCAGCATCTGTAAAAGGGTTAAGCTTGATGCTGCTATTTATATCTCATTTTAAGTATCTTTATTTTGGTACTGAAAAGCTTTTATTACGTAATTAATGGAGAAATATACATTCAAATCAATTATGAAATAATGTAAGATTATCCAATCTGTTGCGACAGTCAGTTGCCTCAAGGAATGTAAACAGTTGAAATGCATACGCTTCGATACTGACTTCGATTTATATTCGACTTCTCTGGAAAATTCAATTACGTTAAAAATTGAGGTTAAGACGGCACAAACAATACTGATGTGTAAGTGTACTTAGGTTCCTCGTAATAACTCTCTTATATGATTGTTGTTTTACTGAGTTATATACATCTCTGTGATTAATCTGGTATTCCTAATCACTCTACCGGTATTTTATTTACAAGACATTTGATATTTTTCTAATAATTTGCATATTTATGCTGTATATATCGTATTAAAATCTCTGTGATGTGTGTAATGGACTTCGAATGGATAAGAAAGATATTTGCGTTTCATTTGTCGGAGATAGGTATGTAAAACACGAATAACGATATAAAATTGTGATAATTATACAAGTTAAAATATTATTTTGTATCAGAATAAGAATATAAGTTCTTTGTTAAATACAACATATTGTTCCACGTAAATTTGTGCTTAATAGTGCCAAATAGTATTTTAAGTTACCCAAATTGGTTTTAGGGCTCTGAAAAAACACTGCCCCAAAACTTCATTACTTCAGAAAAGGTTTAGAATATACAGACAATAGAATAGACATTTTGAAGTAAAAGGCTGTAGTTTTAATGTTTTAGGCTATAGTTACAATTATTTTGCATTAATAAGGATACATGTAACAGCCATTTTAGTATATACCATATGTATTCCTAAAACCCTTAATAAAGTATCTTAAAAGCTTTGAGTTTTCGATGTTTCTATCCGGGTTACAGGATACCCAAGGAGGTAACCCGGCAAGAACATGTTCCCGGGCCCATTAGTTTATGCCTTCCCAACAGATGGCGCGGAAATTCACTTTTCTTTACATTAGTTCATGCCCTCGCCAATACAGGCAACTCTCGGTTTGCGAACGCTCAATTTACGAACATTCGCTATAACGAACGTCACAATTCATTCAAAATTTCTTAAATTCGCCAATAGATAGAGTTACTTATAAAACGAAATGCCAAACGTACAGTGAACATAATTGTAAGATTTAAATAAATAAACTTTTAAAAAATGTATTTATTACAATAATTATCAGAGCATTATTACATGATAATTATACTGAACTGTTCTTGGATATTAAAACTAATCTAGCAAGTAAAAAAACGTTGGTTTACATGCCACGCAGCGTAGAATGTTTTCTCGTGGGAAAGAAATCGGTGATCATCACTTGCTTTGCCTGGGTTATCTTACACGGTCAATTGTAGTTCTGCATTTGGTGACTTAAAATATATATTTTAAAAATTTATGCGATCGTGGGTACAAATCGAAATAGTAGTAACACGTATTGTATAGATCATTCGATGTTTAGTAAATGGTTTTAATGCTTTAAAATGGCTGCTAACGTATACGAGGTGCGATCGAAAGGTTTCCAGACTGCGCGTATAAAAACCCGTACACTTATCTCAGGTATTAAATTAATCCATCACCCTCGAAGTAGTTCCCCTGGGAGTGAACACAACGATCCCAGCGCCACTGCCAAGCCTGGAAGCATCCCTGGAAATCATTCTTTGTCAGCCTGTCAAGCACCATCTGCGATTCTGCATGAATCTCTTCTATCGTCTCAAATCTCCTTCCCTTTAGCTGAATTTTCATCTTTGGGAAGAGGAAGAAGTCACACGGCGAATAAGGAGGTTGCGGGATGACGGCCATGGTGTTTGAGGCCAAAAACTGCCGAACTTTGAGGGCGGTGTGCGCTGGCGCGTTGTCATGATGCGTCGCATGTGGAGTTCTTCCTTTAGAATCAGCTGACAGGTCCCATAGCCTATCCCAACAATGCCGCACAAGTCGTTGATGGTACGACGTCGATCTTCGTAACATTTTCGGGCGTTGCGCTCGAAGATGGTCGTCCAGAACGCTCATCATC